TCTTCTTCTTTTTAAGCAAAACAAGTTTAGGTTCAAACAGATTGACTAATTTTCCTGAAGGTAGACAGCCATTGACAGAACGCCATCTCTGGGCATAATGGCTGCCACTGGAACATAGTAATCTTCTTCATGCTATGTGATAGAGTCAAGTGCTCTTGGTGAAATATACTTTGAAAAGTCTTATTGTTTCTCTGTAGTCATTGCTTGGGTTCTAGCTTAGACTTAAGACATCAGTGGTGTCAAGATGAATTGTCCACTGCAACTTTGCTTCTTGTAAAAAAGAGAAAGAGAAAGATTGATTTAGTGGGAAAAAAAGTTGATGACTCATAATGTCCTTTGACTTTAAGGAGATATGAAGAAAGCACTTGAGGTTCACAGACTAGTCTAGTTTACTGGTTTGGCAACTTTGTGGAGACTAACTTTTATGTGAAGGCAGTTCTATTCTAATAACATCTACTGCAGTGTTGTTGTTGTTTAGTGCCCTCAACTTGACTACGACCCACAGCAACCCTGTAGAGGGTTTCCGAGGCTGTAAATCTTTACGGGAGCAGAAAGCCCCATCTTTCTCCGGCAGAACAGCTGGTAGTTTTGAACTGCTGGCCTTGCGGTTCACAGCCCGTTTCATAACCACTATGCTACGTAAATAGTTATTAATTCACATAAAGACACCATGTCAAGTAAATTATTATGAAAGCTATTACTGGTATTTCAAAGGCTGGTTCTTTTCTCAAAATACAGTGAAAACTTTTTTTGAAAAATAGATCATACCTTATATGTCTAACTGATACAAAAGGAGATCCGGTGAGGCAGTGAGTGGTTTCAGTTAACACTGTATTGCTAACTGAAAGGTTGGTGGTTTGAATTACCCAGTCACTCCACAGCAGAAAGATGTGGCTGCCTGCTTTCATAAAGATTACAGCCTTGGAAACTGTATGGGGCATGTCCATTCTGTCCTACTGGGTCACTATATCCAAGATGTCTGCTTTTGAAAATAATCCTTATACCCAAATTCAAGCGACTTAAATTCATAGTCTAGAAATCTTACTATTTCTATGACATAACATTTTCATTGTACAAACATTCTTGTTGTTGAAGATTATTTCATATTCTTAGAGCATCAAATCTTTTCTATTAAGTTGAATGATATGAAATTGCTGATACGAAGTCAATTTTGGCCTCAAAATGGTAGTCTCTTGTGGTTCCATCTAATAGTACCCTTTCTATGCTTCATTTAAGAAAGAGTAAACAATTTATATTGCTGACACAGTGCCACATTCTGTGGCATGGGCTTCAGTTTTTAACACTTATAATTATTCAATACATTTTTGGCAGGTGACTGTTGCTTTTAATTAGATTTTTTAAATGCTTTCTCCAAGATATCAGTTTACTTTGACTTTTTAATTTTAGAACAAAAACAATTAGAAGGGAAAGGAGCTATTATTAGGATAAGAAAAATTAAGAACTGTAGGGCATTAGAAAGGTATTTACAGCCACTGTAATCATCCAATCAAGATAATTCTATAAAGTGAAAAAGGTCAGATAAAGCCATTCAAGTGTGACATTCCATTAGTTGGTGATATTATACCTGCAGCCAATAGGTTTGGAGAACTTTGAACTCTCTTCACAGATGTTAATGTGACAGACATGGCAGCACGTTTGCGAGCACACCCACCGCTATCTGGAAGCAAAAACATGATATAGCAGAGGCCTGGGCAAGGGAGAAAGCTCATGCAACATCATGCAATTTAAGCGAAATGTGCTGGACAACCATGAGAAAGAGAGCAGTCAGACTTTGTAAGTCTGGAGGACATCTGCAAATTTCACTCTCACCCCCACACTAAAACAAATAAAACCTAACAAAGAAACAAATGAGGAACCTGCCCATGAAACAGATTCCAATGCTCTAGTAAAAGATGATTTTATAGCTAACATTTTATGGCTCTTCTTTAATGGAAGACACAAGCACAAAACTCAACTTCTTTTACACCACTTAAATTTAATTCATATTGAATCTGTAAGCCATGTAGTTATGGATACTCTGTTTTTGAAGATTAGAAGCTACCTATGGTATACTTTTATATCTATCCTTAGGTTTTGCCATATTCTAGCTATTATGATTCCTGGAGATTGCTTTAAATAACTCTTAGAAGTTAGTTATTAACTGTTATATTGTTGTTGTCAAGTTAGCTCTGACTTATAGGCTTCCCAAGGCTATAGATATAAAAGCCTCATATTTCTCCCACTATACGACTGGTGGGCTCAAACCACTGACCTTGTGGTTTGCTGTCCAGTGTTTATCCTATAGAGCCACCATGATCCCTATTAACTGATATAGGAAGAATGAATTTGATATATAGGATTCATGAAGAAATATAGCATTATATGTATTCCGTACCTTCCCACAGGTATTATTAATTATAGAACTCAATATCTATCAAAGACAGTATTGATAAATAGTATTGATAAACATAGCATTGAAATGAACATTTTAAGAAACATTTGTTTTTATACATTCTTACAGTAGGTGTATCATGGTCTACATAGTTAAACACAGGCAAATCACAACATGAAACAAAATTAAATGAGTATGAATAAACCACCTTAATGTGCTATTGAGTTCAGAGTAAGAAGACTTGTAACACTGGAAGGTTAGTGTTCTATCTGAATAGATTCCTAGTCCATTTCTACATTCCTTTGTCACATAGCAAGTGTAACAAATAGTTTTTCTGATTCCCCAGGATTTAAAGCAACTAAAATTTAAATCTTTTTGAAAATCATGACCAAATAAATAAATAAATAAATAAATAAATAAATACAACCACCAATAGTAACAGTCTTTGTATATTGCCACACTCTAGCCTCTAAGTCTTTGGAAGATGTTATCTTTCAATATTGTTTCTTGGACATAAGGGAATTTACATTATTGGAAGTATTATCTGAATATATTATTGTTTTTAAAATCACAAACAAGTGATTCCCATATCAAAATACAATTTCTAAATGCGGCAACAATTTCCTAATGTGGGTAACAACATAGAAAAATAACTTGAAACAACATTAAAAGGAAATAAGTAAATGAACCAAGGGCTATAAGTAAGAACCAAAAGATAACGACACAAATGGCTGAAATTTATTTCTGAAAATACACTAATGAGAGACACCACTAGGATTTTAGTAAACTCTGTAAATTGAAAATAACTATGAGAGATGAGTGGGTCTGAACAGATGGAAGTAATGGTATTGACTATGTGTAGTCAAGGGTGTTGAAAATGAAAACTGACATCATTCTAAAAGAGATTCTATTTTCTAAGAGGTTCTTTTACTTTTGAACACCTGAAAAGAAGCATAAAGATGAAAAGAGAACATTCCAGGAGGAGGTGGTCCAGGGTCAATGGTTAAATCCCAAGTCCCCACTCATTGTGCTGTGGTGCGCCAGGCCTTCTCAATGAATTCACATAGGTGTCAGGTAGTATTTTACATTTTTGAGGAAAACTAAAATTTGTCCGATACTGCTTAGAGGGATAGCTCAAGTCTGTTCCCAGTTTTAACACAATAGATTATGCACTATTCCTTTTGATGTATCACATCTTAGAAAAGTTGGAGTTTTGGTAGTTGTTTTAAGAAGCACATTTCCTATGAATATCATTTTAAACCAATAAATGAAAGTGACTATACATACAATCTAATTCCAAGGTCCAAGTTATGATTGCTTAACAGGCAGATACATCCAATGTTCTTACATCTAAAAATATAATGCTTATGAGGTTGATTCGCTATGAAGCTCTGCGATCATATCTGCTTTTTTTTTTTTAAATATAAAGTTTCCATGTACATTAGCATGTTGTTGTTGTTGTTATGTGCCATGGAGTCGTTTCTGACTCATAGCGACCCTGTACAGGGTTTCCGAGGCTGTAAATCTTTACGGGAGCAGAAAGCCTCATCTTTCTCCCGCGGAACAGCTGGTAGTTTCGAACTGCTGACCTTAAGTTCGCAGCCGATTCATAACCACTATGCTACCAGAGCTCCTTGTACATTAATATAACATTTCATAATTTTTAAAAACTTTTTTATACGGCATCTCCCTGGCATAGAGAATTTATAGAATGATAAACTTTAAATATTTTCCATTAGAGCAACTTGCCTTAGAATTTAGCCCATTTTCAATGAGGAATTTAAAATGTTTGCATAGAAACAATATGCTCATACTACTTCCTAGGAATTAAAGGAATTAATTTAGCAATATGATTAAAGAAAAAAGGAATACAATTAAAAAAAAATTCTACTGGTGGTGATTATCAGGTTAGAGCATAAAGATAAAAAAATAAGGTGATGGATCTAGACTACAATCAGAAACTCAAAATCACCCTTAGGATCAGTAGAGTGCTATTCTAATGATTTAGGGTCAAGATGATTTTTAAAGAGCAAAGTTGAAGAGTTATAACTAACAGACATGTCATACCTGTATTCATTTTGACCTTGGTGGGTTTGCTATTAAAGTCTTCAGTTTCCCTGTAGGAAAAAAATTATGCATTAATTTGTTCACTAGTATGTGGCATGAAATTTCATGAAAGTGTGTTTTTGTTTTGCTTCTGATGTAGATCTAGGACTTAATATCACATCATCATTAGTTTTATTAAATCATGGTTTAATAAAGCTGGCAGATTTTATGATTCTATTTAAGTTATATTTTAATTATTATTAATCTTATAATTAATGTGGCTATGGCTACATGTCTCTACATTTGATCTAAGAATTCGTTCTCTTCATTGATTGAGAATCTTCCATCTAGGTAGTTCAATCTTCCACCTAGAGAGACATCAGAAATATAACCAGATTTCTCAACTTGAAAGACCTGAAGAAAAACTCTAAGCCTTGACTTTTAATATTGGATGATTTTATGGGCAAAAGACTGAATGAGGCAAGAAACATTAGAAGAAAATGGCGGGAATACACAGAGTCCTTGTGCCAAAAAGAACTGGTTGATGCTCAGTCTTTTCAAGAGGTACCATACAATCCACAATCAATGATTTTGAAGGAAAAAGTCCAAATTGCACTGGATTTTTTGAAATCTTTCAACAAACTGATGCAGTGTTCACTTATCTATACCAAGAAATGTGGAAGACAATTACATGGCCAGCTTATTGGAAAAGATTCATATTTGTGCCCTTTCCAAAGAAAGGTGATACAACAGAATGCAGAAAACATTGAATAATATCATGAATAGTATATGAAAGTAAAGTTTTGCTGAAGATAATTAATTTAAAAATGATTGCAGTGGTACATCCACAAGGTGCTGCCTAAACGTCAAGCTTGATTCTGAAGAGGACATGGAATGAGGGACATCATTACTGAAATCAGATGGATCTTGGATCAGAGAATACTGGAAAGATGTTTACTTGTACTTTATTAACTATACAGAGTCATTTGACCATGTGGATCATAATAGACTATGGATAACACTGCAAAGATATCATACAGAACATTTTATGCTCCTGATAAACTTAAAATCATGAAAATATGCACCAGGGCTATATCCTTTCACAATTCTTATTCAATCTTGTATGCTGAGCAAAAAATCCATGAAGCTAAGTCTTATGAAGAGGAACATGGCATCAAGAATGGAGGAAGACTCATTAACAAACCTGCAATATACAGATGGCACCGTTTTGCTTGCTGGAAGCAAAGAGGACTTGAAGTATTTACTGATGAAGATTAAAGACTCAAGGTTTCAATGTGGATTACACCTTAATGCAAAGAGAACGAAAATCCTCACAACTGGACCAATGGATAACATCATAATAAACAGAAAAGAGATTGAAATTGTCAAACATTTCATTTTACTTCAATCCACAATCAATGCTCATGGAAATAACAGTCAAGAAATAAAATGACATAGTCCATCAGGTAAATCTGCTGCTGAAAACCTCTTTAAAGTGTTAGAATAAAGATGCCAGTTTGAGTGCCTAACCCAAGCCATGATATTTTCAACCACCTTAACTGGACAAATGCAAAAGCTGGATGATGAATAAGGAATACTGGAGAAGAATTGATATATTTAAACTACGGTGTAGGTGAAGAATATTGAAAAGTACCATGGACTGCTAGAAGAAAGAACAAATTTACTTTGGAAGAAGTACAGTCAGAGTGCTCTTTGGATGCAATGATAGTGAGACTTTGTATCTTGTACTTTGGACATATTATCAGGAAGGACTAGTCCCTGGAGAAGGACTTCATGCTTAATAAAGTGGAGGGATAATGAAAAAGTGGCAGCGACAATAGGCTCAAATAAAGCAATTGGATGGCACAGGTCTAGGCAGTGTTTTGTTCTGTTGTACTTAGGAGAAGGAACCAATTCTGTGGCACCTAACAGCAACAACATTAATTATGTTGTTGTTTATAGGTGTTGTAGAATTGACCTTACTGACCCCATATGATAAATAGAATGCCTCATAGATTTTTCTTGGCTGCATTCTGTATTGAAGCAAATTTCTTGTTCTTTCTCCCATGACACCAGTGGATAAGTTAGAATTACCAACCTCCACAATTAGCAGCTGAGCACTTAGCCATCTGCACAATTAAGATAAACATGGAGTCACCCTGAGTTGAATCAATGGTAAGTGACTTTTTTTTTTTTTTTTTTTTTAGTTCTAAACAGAGCATCGATGGCACTTCCTGACTTTCTTGCCTTTGTCTGCCAGTGTTCTTCCTCCCTCTTCCTTTAAACTGTTCCTCCTGTCATTATGTTGTTGTTGTTAGGTGCCATCGAGTTGGTTATGACCCATAGCGACCTTATGCACAGCAGAACGAAACACTGCCCGGTCCTGGGCCAACCTCACTCCTGTTGCCATGCTTGAGTCCATCGATGCTGCCACTTGGCCAATCCATCTCATTGGGAGTCTTCCTCTTTTTCTCTGACCCTCCACCTTACCAAACATGATCTCCTTCTTCAGCAACCGGTCTCTTCTGACAATATGTCTGAAGAAAGAGAGACGAAGTTTGCCCGTCTTGGCCTCCAAGGAGCATTCTGGCTGCACTTCTTCCAAAATAGATCTATTGGTTCTTTTGGCAGCCCATGGCACTTTCAATATTCTCCTCCAACACCATAACTCAAAAGTATCAATTCTTCTGCAGTCTTCCTTATTCACTGTCCAGTTTTCGCATGCATATGAGGTTATTGAAAATTCCATGTGATTATATGACCTGCTATATTCATCAACCATCATTCTCTTTCATTGTGGTCGTCACAGTTCACTTCTATAGAAAACCTGACTTTGTTGATTTTTGTGCTACTTTACTAAGAAAATAAGAATGTAGGTGCCAGCTAAATCTAATGATATCACTCGTCTCTCTGAGAATATTGAAATAAAGGAGCATAGAAAAAACACCTAATTTAAAAGAGACGTTGTTGTTGTTAAGTTCCGTCCAGTTAGTTCTGACCCATAGTGACCTTGTATAGGGTTTCTTGGGAACAGCTGGAGAGCCTGAACCGCTGACCTTGCAGTTCAAATCTACTTTGAAATCCAGCGCATTAACCCATAGTGCCACACCAGGACTCCAAAAGAGACATAATATGGACAAATTGAAGAAAGTTTTTTTTTTTTTTTTTTCTTTCTTTTCTTTTTTTCCTATTCCTAAACTGAAATACTAAGGAGCTCTGGTAACGTAGTGGTTACGAATCGGGCTGCTAACCTCAGGGTCAGGAGTTCCAAACTACCAGCTGTTCCGCGGGCGAAAGATGAGGCTTTCTTCTCCCGTAAATATCTATCTACTGCCTTGGAAACCCTCTACAGGGTTGCTATAAGTCGGAACCGACTCCACGGTACATGCCACCAACAACAAACTGAAATGCAAGCCTTGATACTCAATAAATACGATATCAATGATCGTACAGAACAGACATCATCATCGTATCACTTTCACTCCAATTTGCTTTTTAGAGCTATCAAGTGAAAGGAAGACAGACCGTTTCCACAGAATTTAGAGCTATAAACTGAAAGGAAGACAGACCGTTTCCACAGAATTTCACTTCTATATCCCCTGGTTGTGTTCTTTGACCAGGCACAATATTCAAGGGTAGGAAAAGCAGGGCAGGGATCATGCTGGGAGCCACCATGACCAGTACTCAACCAGCTACCATCATGCTTTAGTGAATTTTACAGAAAAGATTCACAGGCCAATTGATTTAAAAGTGATTGAGGAAACTTCATTATGACTAATTTTACCTTTTATTTTTCAGTGGATATTAATAAAGATACCTTACTGGGTTTTTTGTGTGTGTTTTTCAGAATAAACACAAACATGTGACACATTTCTCAGAAATGTTACTTGGTAGCCTTACTATTGCCTGTATTGAAGGGATGCCAAAGAAGTCAAGGAAGAAGGCAGTGGCCAGTGCAGGAGCCTTGAGAAAGCTCCTTCAAATGTATTTATTTTAATCTCTCAGTAGCAAAACTCCTAATATGTTAACCTTAAATGGAGAAAATAAATGAAAAAGGAAAGCCTCAGGGGATGTGTGTGACCAAGGCTGAGACAACTTCTAAAACAAGAAAGGATAAACAGTCTCCAGAAAATGAATTCTATAAAGACATTTGTTAACTTCTACTTCACAACTCCTTATAAAACTAAGTACCACCTAAGTGTTAAAATGGTTTTAAATTTTAAAACTGAATGACAAAGATAGTATCTGGAAGAACAGTGATTGATAAAGAAAACATCAAACATAGACGCAAGGCTAATTTTCAGCATATGTTGTTATTGTTGTTGTTGTTAAGTGCCATCAAGTCAGTTCCAACTTACAGCACTCCTGTACAGGGTTTCTGAGGAGTGGTTGGTGAGCTTGAACCACTGACCTTGTGGTTCAAATCGAGTTTGCAATTCAGCGCACTATCCAGCAGTGCCACACCAGGAATCCAATTTTCAACATATAGAATCTGCTAATATAAAATATAGTCCTGGACCATGAGGTTGGTTTGAACCACTAGGCTGGCAGTTCAAACTCACCAGCCACTGTGAGTTGGAACCGACTCGATGGCACTTAACAACAACAATATAAAATAATAATATTTTTATGCTAAGTTAGAGAACAATTTATTGTTTGAACAAAGCTGTAGATATTTACAAAACATTGGACATTCAAAAAGTAAAATAGGATTTAGAAGAACAAAGAAAGGCGCCATAAATACTTGAGCTTTTCATCTTTAAAGTGTTGTATCCTGTTACTTAGAAAGGTAATTTGCCAGTTTTTTTTTTTTTAACTTAACATTGTTTTAGATGTCAGAATGTGAAATGACTAACTTCCTAATCAGGCAAGGCATTTTCCAAGTTGTTAAAAGAAGAGCCACATTGACTGAGCTCTCAAGAAGGACCTGAAACTGAAAGGCTTCTTGGGTGACTAATAAAAATGCATGGTTCTATTTCCATTATTTGTACTAAAACCATAACAAATCCACAACTGAAAACCCTCTTTAGA